TATATAAATAAATAAAAGGAATAAGTAAATATATGATTACAGATTTAAAAAAACATTTAGAGGAAAATGTGCTTAATTATCATTAATAATTAAGATAATTAAAATATTCTCATAATTAAAAAAAATAATGCACAATTAGAATAGATTTAGTTTTCTATAGTTCCCTTTTCAGTAAGCAGACAAAATTTCTTATTTTTGTCTTTTGATTTTTAATAAGAAATGTGACTTAATATTAACACCCTTGACAGGTTTCATACAGATTACTCATAAATAGATAAATTAGAACGTCAGTTTTGCACAAAGTTTGATTTAACAGCCTTCAAGAGTGCTTCACTGCTGCTGTCCAGAAGAGGGGGGTAATTCCTTCATTTGTTTAAAGGTGCAAAAATGTTTAGCCAGTGATGTTACAGAGGCATCTGAACTGGAGAGTGTGGGTGAATGTGTAGGAGAGATGCTATTGTTTGAGGCCGATCCTGCTGTGTCTGGGAGTGGCAGTAATACAGTCATTTCTCTGACCTTGAATTGAAGCCAAACTCTGGAAACATTCTTTCTGTTTACAGTGACTGTATCACGCTAACCACAGAATGTTAGTCGAGCTCTGTCAGGAATGTCTCAGTTTTATTGTATCTATAATTTGAATCAACCCCAAGATGCTCATCATTTCTGTTTGTGCGTCTCCTGGTCTGACAGGTGCAGTGGCCAGCAATGAGGTCAAGCAGAAACTCCAAGAGTTTCTGTTGAGTAAATCCACCAAAGACGGCACAACCAATGGGGTCCCCCAGAGCTCCAAACTGTGGTACACGTAAGTAACCTTCACATACCTTAAATACCTTAAAACATTTGCTGTTTTAAAAGAGCTGGATTTTTTTTTCAGACTGTTCCTTTTAAATTAATTTAAATTTAAATACTATTTAAAAATGTAACTTCTTAATAGATAAATCAAAATATTATTCACTATGATTGTAAAGTTTGTGGTCGGATTGGGATTGTAAAGTCTCTTATGCTCGCTAAGGCTGCATTTATTTGATCAACAATACAGTAAAAACAGTAATATTTTGAAATAGTATTGCTATTTAAAATACCTGTTTTCTATTTGCATATGTTTTAAAATATAATTTATTCATGTGACGGCAAAGCTGAAATTTCAGCATCATTACTTCAGTCTTTAGTGTCACATGATCCTTCAGAAATCATTCTAAAATGCTGATTTGATGCTCAAGAAACATTTTTTATTATCATCATTGCTGAAAACAGTTGTGTTGCTTAATATACATTATTTTTTAGGATTATTTAATGAATATTATGTTTAAAAGAACAGCATTTATTTAACATATCTTTGTAACATTATAAATATCTTTACTGCTTAATAAATTGTATTTATTTCTTCTTCTTTAAAAAAAAAAAAAATCGTATTTACTCCAAACTTTTGAATGATTGTGTATTTAAATGCTGTAAAATATAAAATAAATAAATAAAGCAAGACTGGAGGAACATTTCAGACTTTCCTAGTAAAATGTAGGTGATTTTAACTAATAATCAGTAATGTGATACTAAGGTGGATAGTACTAGAGCACAAAAGAGCTGTCAGATGTATTTATGACTGTGAGGTAAGTTCAGGAGTTCAGTTTGCATCTCCTTTCTGTTCAGAGCCTCCCATCACACCTCTCTGGAGCAAAGTTCACCTCCTTTGGGAGGAGCGTCCTCCTCCTGCAAGATCTCCCTGCTCTCCCCACTAGACTCCCGGGATGACTTTCCTCTGAGGAAGACAGGTAGGTTCCTAAAAGTTGGCCTTTCAAAACTGTCACAAAAAGACGTTATTCACACTATCGTTTCGTAATACCATCATAATGTGCGTTGCATTCATGAGACATACTACAAATTATATTAAATTTTTATTGCTTTATGAAACATGGGAGGTGGGGTTACAGTATGACTCAAAAGTCTTTTTCCCAGAATTACAAGATCCCTTGAGAGACGACGCATAGGCTCAGATTTGCATTATTTCAGGGATAGTTTAAAGAGTGGATTTCCACAGTAAGATTTATTTTCCTCTGAGCATGCTATAGAACCACAAATTTCCTAAAATGCTAAAGGTATATAATTTTCAGCTATATAAGAGGCTTTAATTATTTCGAAAATCCTTGACTTTTTGCAGAAAACACCACAGGTTTGTTGACTCAGTGCTGGAAGGAGTCTCGTAGGAAGTCAGTATTAATGCGAGTTATGACTCCCACTTGGCTGGCCAGTCATGAGTTCTTGCAAAGGCCGAACTGTTCATAACTGTGCTGTTAAATCAAGGAAATTACATTACATTCCTTCCCCTTTGTGTCCTTTTGAATTATGACGGTAAACAATTATATCTGCTTAAATGCTTTACCATATGGGTTGGCATGTTGTGTATTTACATTATTTAGGGATCAGGCAAGTGAGTTTTAATCCTAAATTATGCGGACTGTGTCTGCCAAATGTAAACTAATCTAAGGTAATTATGTAGGTTGTTCTGTTCAAATAAGCACTTTATAGACACATGAAAGAGACGTGTTTATTGTCTTAGCTTTTGAACAGTAACCTCCCAGTTTCAGCATCAATTTCTGCTTCGCTCCACTGAAACCAGCCAATATCCTGAGAACTAAAAGGAGCGTAAGGTTCTGGAATCCAAACAGCCTGCTGAGAAAGCAATGGCTGTCCCAAGCAAAAAAAAAAAAAAAGAGAGAGATAGAGCTGTTGCTGTTAGGAAAACTTACAAATATGAACTGCTTTGGTCCCTATCCCACAGTATTAAGATCAATGACAAATGGCGTGACCATAATAAAGAAAACAAAAAATCTTGTTGAAAACAATATGCACCAGATAACCAAATAAGTGTCTTTACGTGTGTTAATCTTATCCATTGCCTAAACCTTTTAAAACCTATTTCCTTCTAGTTGGATCAAACTCTATATGTGGTCACATCCATGCAAGGTCCCTTCCCCCTCTTCCTGTCTGTCTCAATTAGAGTCCCCTCAAATTAGGCACGCAACAGGAGCCACACAAAGATGCTGGTTGTTCCACGTCCTGGATTTCATCTGAGATGCTTGACTGGCATATGTCAAGAGGTTAGGTTAGCGCTGTGGAGAGAACTAACCAAAACAAGGCAAATTTAGTGAGTGCTACAGGAACTGACACTTTTTTAAAGAGGTAATCCTTCATTTCCTTTGAGTCCTTAGTGCTGTATCATCTGCAGAACTCAATGTGGCTTTGGTTTGATCACACTGTTCTCGACTGAAGTTGTCAAAGACAAACAAGCCATTTATCTCCAAAGCATCACATATTTGTTTAATTGCCATGTATCTTCTGTGTGGCGAGTTCTGGACCAGAAAACATTCATGTGGCGGCACATGACACTGCTGCGGCGAGGAATAGTCCAGCTTATTGAAGAGAAGGAAAAACCTTCTTAGTCTTGACCCACATACCAAACATGTGGAGCAGGTGCAGCTGAGATGAGAGGGATTTGAGTTTGTGTGTTTTAAATGGTGGATATTTTGGGTCGCCAGACCAGGCTTGCATTATTATGTCACACCATTTTTCCCCACTGGATATGGAGGGATGGAGGAAGGGAAAAAAAGAAAAATGAACCGAGGTGCAATGATGAAGTAATATGGTTTGCAAGGGCAGTGTTGTTGCATCACATAGTCCTCGTCTCCTGGGTAAACAGGTGTTTGTATTTTTACTAATGAGAGAAAAAGTATCAGAGAGGAGGCAGGCAGGATCAGGTGTGTGCAAACACACATTGCCTTTAGAAAATTTGACTAAGCTATTCTTCAAAAGAAATGCAAAAGATGCACAAAGTTTAAGGAAGCACCGATATTGAAATGTCTGACTGATTAATGGACAATATTGTAAATATAAACTACTTTGTGTGTGTGTATATATATATATATATATATATATATATATACAGTATGTACATACAGTAAGCATGTTCTTTTTTGCCATAGTCTATTGCTGTGGTTTAAGATCTGAATCTTAAAATAAGGAATATAACATTTAGAATATTTATATATAATAAATAATTTATTTATATTGTATCAGTGTAAATATTTGTCAATATTTATCCTGATAAAAAAAAAATTGCACATAATCTTATTAACAATATAGTACCAATACAGTGGGCCCTATCGTACACCCGGCGCAATGCTATTTTGAGGCAACTGAAATAGATTGCACCATTTACCATCAAAAACCTGGTCTAAAGTCTGGCGCAATATTTTTTATTTATTTTTTGTTATTTAAAGAGTGCGTTAGTAACATGCGAATGTTACAACGCGCGTACATTTTGCTTATTACACACACAGGGATGCGCAGCAGCACACAAACATTTTTAAAAATGAAAAATTAAAGGATTAAAATGTAAAAGATTATTATTGTGTACATAAATATAAAAATGCCTACTTGTCATAATGGAGAGTCTTTGCATGTATCAGAATTACGCACACGAGCAGATACGTTCCCTCACTAGAGAAGCGTTCAGTTTTTCCACTTGCAAATTCCGCCATGTAAATAGCGAATCTGCCATGGCGCGAGCGCTACTGGCTTTTAAAGGGAATGGGAGATGAGACTCTGATTGGTTTATGGCACGTTACGCCCAAAACACACCCATTACTCATTAAGAGAATAGGGACAACCCTTTTAGACCATGACCATTTTCCCCGTTGTTAAACTAGCAAAAGTGGATTCGGACACGCCGTGCGCTTTAGACCATGCACTAAGATCGTTAAAATAGGGCCCATTGTGTATAACAATAAATGATTATTGTCAAGGTCCAAAATTACCTTTCTGTCACACCGTAGTGTGGCATTAGTGTGATAATGTGTGGAATTAGTTGAATTGCTAAAATTGACTAGCCATAAATATTTCTTACACGAAACCACTTACATTAAGTTACCATAACTAACAACAAGCAACTGTGTTTCATTTATTTAGCCATTTTTACTTTATTTGCTAAGTGTTAATTATTGACCATGGTTAGCACATCTTAGAAGATATGATCTTTTTTGGTCACTTTACACATACACTCTTCACACTTGTCAGACACATGCTAAGCCACACAACACTGAAGGGAACCTTGTCTTTGGGTTGAGACAACACAATAAATAGACCTCAGTAGTTTGTGCCCTCCAGTGCTGCTTTCAAATGTAACAATATAATTGATTTATGGGTCTGTTAAGTCGTTGCCTCATACATATTCCTGTTTGACTTGGCCTCTGGTTCCAGGCCGTGTGTCAGCGCGAGGAAAAATCAAGAAGGTGTTAGGCCTGTCGCTCTGCTGTTTTTGTGGAGTAGAGTGATGTGTTCGCCCATGGCATCACGATCACAGCCTCTTACTAAACCCACCAACAATCGCTCTTCCACCTCCACAGCAATAGGGTTGCGTTCCCGTGGTGACAGGCTGTAGCGTCGAATAAAAATAGAAGGCAATCAGGACAGTGTGGGGTGCAAGGCGGATTGAAGAGGGCTCCCTGCAGTTCGCTCTCAGCCCACTCCGCTAGCGGGATTTACATCCCATTAGCGCACTGCTGGATGGGAGCAGACAGTCCTGCCTCTGCTTCTGAAGAGGCCTGGAATAGCAGCCCAGCCCGCGGTCCAGTTCTCTCCCTCTCGTTCTCTCCTCTGAGATTACTGCTTACAGCTGTGTCTTCCCATGACTCCCACTTCTCATACTGACTCATCCTATATGATCATATCCATTTGGTCAGCTGTCTTTTTAGTATGGCAACAATCTCTCTCTCTCCCTCGTTTGACTGCTCCCTTCAGGGGTCTTAGCATGGCAACACTACTATTCGAAAATAAGGAAAATCATAAGTTCTCAACTGCAAACAAAAAAAAATTTAATGCATCTAATCACATACTTTCCAGTATTTAAAAGACAAATAAATTTTTTTATAATTATTTAAAAAATGAATGAAAAATTGTTATACCCACCAACAATCGCTCTTCCACCTCCACAGCAATAGGGTTGCGTTCCCGTGGTGACAGGCTGTAGCGTCGAATAAAAATAGAAGGCAATCAGGACAGTGTGGGGTGCAAGGCGGATTGAAGAGGGCTCCCTGCAGTTCGCTCTCAGCCCACTCCGCTAGCGGGATTTACATCCCATTAGCGCACTGCTGGATGGGAGCAGACAGTCCTGCCTCTGCTTCTGAAGAGGCCTGGAATAGCAGCCCAGCCCGCGGTCCAGTTCTCTCCCTCTCGTTCTCTCCTCTGAGATTACTGCTTACAGCTGTGTCTTCCCATGACTCCCACTTCTCATACTGACTCATCCTATATGATCATATCCATTTGGTCAGCTGTCTTTTTAGTATGGCAACAATCTCTCTCTCCCTCGTTTGACTGCTCCCTTCAGGGGTCTTAGCATGGCAACACTACTATTCGAAAATAAGGAAAATCATAAGTTCTCAACTGCAAACAAAAAAAAATGTAATGCATCTAATCACATACTTTCCAGTATTTAAAAGACAAATAATTTTTTTTATAATTATTTAAAAAATGAATGAAAAATTGTTACTGTCGTTCTATCTATCTGTCTACCTATCATTCTGTCATTCTATCTATCTATCTATCTATCTATCTATCTATCTATCTATCTATCTATCTATCGTTCTGTCATTCTATCTATCTATCTATCTATCTATCTATCTATCTATCTATCGTTCTGTCAGTCTATCTATTGTTCTGTCATTTTATCTATCTATCTATCTATCTATCTATCTATCTATCTATCTATCTATCTATCTATCTATCTATCTATCTATCTATCTATCTATCTATCTATCTATCTATCTATCTATCATTCTATCGTTCTATCGTTCTATCGGTCTATCGTTCTATCGTTCTATCTGTCTATCGTTCTCTATCTGTCTATCTGTCTATCTATCTATCTGTCTATCTATCTATCTATCTATCTGTCTATCTGTCTATCGTTCTATCTATCTATCTATCATTCTATACTATCTATAATCTTCATCTTCTCTTGCTAAACAATTTTTGTACTGTTGTTTGTTTGCCAGTGTATGTCTAGTTCAGCGTGTGAAGCAAAACCAGTAGAGAACCACTGATCTAGATTATAACTTGAACACACTAGATGGTAGTGTTACTATTGCACAATGGGGAACTGAGAGGAAAAAAATAAAACATTGCTCATAATAACGAGACCGAATTTCGGTATTTTTGGCTGCTAGTTGTAATGTGGGTGTTTCCCAAAGGGAGGCACTGGATGTGGGTGGCTGGCTTACTCACTCGCTTCCCATCAGAGAGTTGTTTAGAAACACTTGCCTGTACATCACAGTCATATAAACAGACACGTCTCCATAATTCAAAAATATTTAAATGATGACAAAATACTCCATAGGGTTTATTTGATATAATTATGTACATTTCTTCTTCACTCCACAGTCTTTGTCTTTTTTGCACATTTTGCATGAATATGTTTTTGCATAGACAGGGTGTGGCGTGCTGCATTCACTCACCAAAACATCTGTTACCACCCAATTTTGTCTGGTAATTTATTTACTACCATACAGAGACTAACTATATAAAAAAAACCTCTACAGCTAAACACTGCTAAAGTCTTCTCCGGGTCCCCGTGGACTTTGCTCACAAAGAGGTGTATTCTGGGCAAATGTGACATGTCTCTGTGAAGCCTCAGCTTAGCAGCTGTGTTATTCTTCAACACCACTGTTTACACTCCCATGGACCTCCAAAGCAATAGCCGACAAGGAATGCTTATTGCGCTGCGATCCAGGGTTGAATTGGTGGGTGGTTGAGCTTAATTGATCCACCAGCCGCTGGTAGCCAAAGACACGTTAACAACACAAACACGCCCGATCGCTATTGTATTGACCTAAGCTTGACGTCTCATGGATCGTACCGGTGCTACCCGCAGACACCGCGCCAGTTTCGAAAGCCAGCCGTGTTTGTGATCCGTTACATCGGGTATCTTCTTTCAGATGGAACTGGTCCCCTGGGTCAAATAAGGCCGGATATCCACATACAGGTCAGTGAATAGGCAGGAGGGATTGGAGGGTAAACAGTACAGCCCCTCTGCCACATGCTGATGGGCCACACCACCAGGTGGAGGAAGTACAGTCAAAAACTGATCAGCCTTGAGACTGTTTTTACTCTGATACAATTCAATTTGAGAAATAATGGCAAGTGGGATGCGATTCTGCGTTTGTGGGCTTCTCTGTGGCCTTGGTTTTATGTCCTCCAGTTGAGCTCACACAGCTCCACTGTGGCAGGAACAAAACCGTCATTCGTTTTAGTACATTAAAGTTTATTGTTCTGTTGCTGCTGCTCTTTCCAATGGTCCATAGTGAGATTTCAAAAATATCTCTCTTTCTCTCTCCCTCCCTCCCTCTCTTTTTCCATCACAGCGGTGGCCGTCACAGCCGAGGTTATTAGGGGCTGAAAGCTCAGTGTCTTTATTAAATCTCTATACGTCTCCATCGCTGCCCAATATCTCCCTGGGTCTCTCGGCTGCCTCTCCCATCAGTGTAAGTCAAATAATGACATGCATCGTCTTTCATAACTTCCTCTGTTAAAGCCTATTCACACCAAGTCAGGATTTTTGGCATGAACAACATGACACAATGCTTCCCAATGAACTCTCAAATAGACCGCAATGAGTATAGTGTATGCGGTATAGTGTGTGTGTGTGTGTGTGTGTGTGTGTGTGTGTATATATATATATATATATATATATTCAGGCATTAAGGCTTTTCAAAAGATTGGGTGCAAAACTACATATACAATATTTTCATATTTTAGTAAAAAAAACAAAACAAAACAGAAATAAATATTTTAATATTTTGCTGATTTTTTAATAAAATATAATATATGATTCTATGTCTCTATATCAATTATTATTATATTTATACAGTATAGTGTATATACTGTATATTATATTTACATAACCGTTAGTTCACTGTTAATTAATTCATTAATTAATAATATAGTAGTATTTTATGATATTTCTTCTGCATGTGTGATATTGTTCATTTACCAGTCAAACGTTTGGAATAATGAAGATGTTTTAATGTTTTTGAAGCCTCTTCAGCTAAGAGTATAATTTATGAATATATACATTCATATATACATATATATATATATATATATATATATATATATATATATATATATATATATATA